TGTGGGCACGCGCGCCGTCACCCCATTCCTAGGTCTTCAGCTGGGTTTTATAAAACCTTTTCGCTTTAGGCCTCTGCCGCCATGTGAAAAAAAAAAAAAAAGGTTCAATCAGTCAATTTCAACTTCTCGCGGGAAAAAAAAAGATCTTGCAAAGTTGAAATTGATTGATTGAACTTTTTAGTCCCACCCAGTCTGCCGTTACCATCGCAGCCACGCCCACCCAATTGACCACACCCAGCCAATGGGCCACACCCACCCAGCACTCGACGATGCATAAGTGGGTTTTCGGTTGCAGTTTGGGCACTCAGTCTCTAAAAGGTTTGCCATCACTGATGAAGACTATAACTTGAACTTTATACCAGAACTTTAACTGGTTAGTAAAGTTTGGATTTACATTATGTTTGAAAAATATTAATATTATGTATCATTATTGCATTATAAATCATTACTACAAATAACTAATAGACTGCTATTGGAGAAATTTGTCTATTCCTCTACAATCAGAACAAGAGGAGATTATCTCACTAGACTAGGAATGGAAAGAGAAACTGATAGAAGATAAATATATAACACACAACCCACTCCCCATCAAAAAGAAACATATTAAGACTGCCTGGTCCCAGATAAAACCAAGAAATAGTGACTTCTAGTTAATAAATTATATTATACTGTATATCTTTTAACACACCTATCTAGATATGATCTATTGATAAGCACTGTTGAACATCATTCCTTGTCCCTATAACACAACTTCCTATTATCTCAAGAATTTGCTATAATCAATTTATTTATTCCTGATAAAAGTCAAAGATTCCATTGAATGAAGTTTATATCCTGATGACAGTTGATATAACTAATATGCCATTTTTTGGCAACTGTAAGGAAGTAGTTTGTCCCCGCTTTCTTCCTGGATATTTTTTTAAATTTCTCTGACTAGGGTACTGGAGCTTGTTGCTGGTTTCTGATCCAAGTATTAATTAGTCCTGACCCTGCTTTACTTCCAAACCTAGAGAAGGTCAGCAAGATGCTGCCACCTGCTGAGATTCTACTTTGATTAAAAATATAATATTTTGCCTCAGAGATGGAGTTGGTGGCAAGGATCAGCAAAATTCCTCTCAAATTTGATGCAATATTAAGTGCACATGATATGTTACATGTGCTAAAAAGTGGTTGGCTAATTTAAAGCTGTGTACTGTGTAAACTTGGCCAGTTTGATAGTTCGTGGGTTAGTTTATTATGGGAATCCAGGCAATCAAGTTAATTCAATCTACCATAATTCTCCCGTTTTATCACATTGTGAGAACAAAGACCACAAGTACTGAAAAGAAGCCCTAATGCAACTAAATCAGAAATACACAACTTCTGATCCCAGCTATGTTGCTACTATTATATTGGCTGAAGACCTCCACGGTCCCTTCCAACTCTGTTGTTGTGTTTGCAGGTGCAAACTAGTCAGTCCAAGAAAAACAGCATTGCATTGTCATATTGCAGGCCTTGCCTTTTGTATACGCATGTTGTAATGTAACATAGAATATGATAAAAAATGTGGAGCTTATAGTACAATGCAGCCTTCGTCATTTTGATTAAAGCAGCTGGGGTGTGGACACCATACAAACATTTTTTTGCAGTTCTAATATTAGCAAACAATGTTATATGAGTGGATATTCAAGAGATTCTACTAAAATGTGGCACTGTAACTTACTGAAGGGAATTCAATTTGCTCTTACAGTAGAATATCACTGTTTGGTCAGTCAGCCAATTCTGTTAGCTAAACTGAGAAATGAATGTATTTTTTAAAACAACCTCTGTGATTCAGCCATTAACATGACCATGGTATAAGCAAAGGGAACAAATGACAATATGCATGTGATTGCATAATCAGACATATGTCATTACTTATATACTTGCATCAGAACTTGTGACCTAATATCTTTATGCACATAATGATTTTGACATCATTGTGATATTTGATCTTCACCACTGAACAGGCCACTGTTTAATAAACCATAGTGAATAGCCCGGCACAGTACAATGTGTGAAATTAGCTGTGACAATTATACCTTGTGATTCGTGAAACAGCTACTGATATTTACAGAATACAGGTGGTCCTTGCTTAAATTCTGTCCTGTTTAGCAAGTGTTCAAAGTTACAGCAGTGCTGAAAAAGAAATGTTATGATTGGTCCTTGCACTTACAATCATCACAGTGTCCTGCAATCATGTGATCACAATTTTCATCCTTCACAGCTAGCTTCCAACAACCAGAGTCAATAGAGAGGTTGGCACTAAAATCACAAATTGTAGTCATATCATCCTAGTACCACTTAAGCATGAAAAACCGGCTAGGTGACTTTAGGCCAATCACTTGCTCTCTTGACCAACCCACCTCAAAGTGTTGTTGTGGGGGGAAAATGGGAAGAGGAAGGAGTATTAGGTATGTTTGGAACCTTGAGTTCTTTACAAACAATAATAAAGTGGGATAAAAATAAATATATATTTTAAAAATATGCTCACTCTTGCCCTATTTTGCATTTTAGTTTTGACCCACCCATCTCATTCATATTCAAAATCAAAACAAAAAATGGGCTAGATAAGAAAAGCAACTGCAAATTTCTCATAATCTATTTTTCTTATCTAGCCCAACATGCATGGTTTACCCATGGTTTGTTGGATAAATTATTATTAGCTAGTTTGGGTTTTAAATATTAAACCATACTTTTGATTGACAAACCACCAGCTATGTTCATGTGATCCATTAATCCAAATCAAACAAAGAATGCTGCATCTTAGACAGATGAATCCAAGGACACAGTAATTCAATATGTTAAGTTGTTGATTTATTCTTATGATATAAAATAGATATGGTTTAAGTTTACTGACACCAGACATTTTCCTGAAAGGAAAATCTGTTCAGACTTTACTGATGGACTCTAGTGTTCACTCATTTGTTTCATGTTAGCTCTTCAACATTTTAAGAATATAATACTAGATCCTGCGCACAAGAGTATTTATGCTCCTGATTTTTGCCTTGGTGACATTTTAAAATGTCACAACTATCTTTCTCCCATTTTCCCCAAGGTGCGGTAAAAATAAGTGCAATGGGATGGGTGGGGGGGAGTGGAGAGAAAAAGTTTTTCATTTGCTACAGTTGCAGCAAGCTGACATTGACCCTTCAGCGTGACCTTGTCTGGGCTGTCTCCTTAGTAACCAGACCCAGAGAAAGGAAACCTGCAGCCAAGCCTCTCTTTTGGCTACCTAACCTTTCTGCCAATCTGATGCGTTGTGCTGGGGGGGGGGGGGAAACAGATACAGGGTCGAGGTAGGCAAGAGGAGCCGAGAAAACCTAGAAGCTCCGATGAAGGAGCTATGCCACTCCGGGAAAAGAGATCACTGATGCACGAGAGGGCACAGTCCCTACACGTAGCCTTAACTTTCGGCCCGCCTCCTTTACTCTCCTGTGGTGCCCGCAGAGCTGGCGTCAACAAAGATTTCACACGGGCGCCCACACTACAAAGTAGTAAAACGTGCCGTGCGTCTAGGCTCGTCTTGTATCAAGGGAGCACGAGGAGCTCTGCGAATATCACAATTGTAGAGGGCGCCCAGGAGGTGGCAGTGGAAGGTTTAGCGGGGGAGGGGGCGCCAATAGCCTCTCGGGCTATATTGGAAAGAGGCTAATGTTAAAGAACGGAGGTTGGGGAGGGGGGACGATCTCCTTAAAATAGCAGATATAGGCTCTCGTTGCCCCAGCTTATCTCTTCAGGCCTGGCCGGGTAACAGCGTGGGGAAAAGGCCTACTAGCCCCGAACGGCGGCTCCGCGGCCTGAACCGATTGTCAGAGCCCAGCAGTAAAGAGGCGAGGAGGAGGAGGCGGAGCATTCGCTTGGTCTCGCCCTCCCGCCCAGGCCTTCCTGCTTTTGCCGGGAACTCCGTGGCGCCTCCTTAAATCTCTGCCGTTAAAATGTGGGCGGGTGTTTCAAGTCAAAGAGCGCTCAAATGTTTTTCCTTTTCAAAAAAAGCTGAGGAGAAGTTGGGGAGGGGAAAGAAGGTACGCCGTGGACTGGAGGAGGAGGAGGAGGAGGAGGAGGAGGAACCGGCTTTCTAGGCGGCATCCCGCAAAAAAAAAAAAAATTAAAAAAAAATTCAACGGACTTGACTCAGCCACGGCAGCTCCACACACGATCGCAGGATCGGCCGCCGACGCTCTGCGCGGAAAGGAGAACGGCCCCGGAGGCGGCAGCTTTGGAGGGTTGTTTTGGCGCCTTTTAGCCAGGCTGGGATTGCGCCTTTGGGCTCCTGTCAAACGGGCGCAGCCGCCGCTGCCCCTCTCGCTAGAGAAATCGACTGCCAAAAGAAAGCAACGGGGATACGGCAAAGCTGATGCTGCCGGAGCCGCAGCTGCGCCGAAACCACCAGCGCGCCGAAAGGTGCGGCGACCTCTCGGCTGTGCTGATGTGCCCGGTTTTCTCGGCTCAGCCAACCCGCCCCAACCAACCGCGACCTTACGGCTGCTGGGTCTGCCGCGCGTCCACCGCCCCGGGATGGAAGCACCGAAGTCCCCTCGCACCCCCGGAGGAGCTGGGCAACTGCTCTCCTGCCGGGACTGGTTAATGCCCCGGCTACCAAGACTAGATTAACCCCCTCGCTCCTACTGTTGGCGGTCCAGGGGGCTGCTAGTTGGGGGCGAAGAACGGACTCAAGGAGCGAAGCCCCGACCCTCAACCTCGGCAACGGAACCCGCGACTTTCCAAGAAGCCTGGCCCGGGTCTCGGCTGGACAGAACTGGTGGGTTGTGCCTTCCGCTTCTTCTGCTTCCACCTCTCTGCCTCCACCTTGTTCTTTACTTTCTCCATCTCCCTTTCCTTACTGGGCTTGGGTTTTTCTCAAGTGTGTCCGATATGCTCGCTGAAGGGCTTGAATCAATTTATGCGCCCCGGCCAAGGTCCGGCGGGGGGCGGGTGTTGTGCGCGTTAGAGGTGCAGCAGTATGCATGACGTGTGAACCAAGGGGCGGGCTTCTGGCAAGGAGCTTTTTTACGAGTATTTACTACAAGAAGGTCTACTCCAGAAGATTAACATCCCCGCTCCTGTCAGTTTCCGATGGCCATGCCCGGCTAAAAACAACCATTAAGATAATCAAATACAAGCCCAGGTTTTCTGCTCGTTGGCGATCGTCATTCGCCCTAAGGAATGGCCGAACCTTTGGCGAATGAGTTGGCGTCCGCAGCTGCCAGAGGGGACCTAGCGCAAGTTACTAATTTGTTGGAAAATAATATAAACGTCAATGCACAAAATGGATTTGGGAGAACTGCGCTGCAGGTTGGTATCTGGGCGGACAGAGGCGATCGTTCACCACTAGGTGAACTGGTTTGACGGGGGAAAGGACCGTTTTTGAAAGGGGAGGAAAAAAAATCAGCATTTTTTAAAAAGCGAGTTGGTTGCCATATTTTATAAGTTTCACGGCTCCAACTCCTTAAAGTGACGTACTTTAAGCAAAACCTGTTTTTAATGTTTCTCTAATCTCAGGATAAACCTCGTCTGCAAGACACCTCGTCTTTTTTTTAAAAAAAAAAAATTCTGAGACAGGGAAGCAAGTGGCGGAGGCAATGGGGGAGGGAAAGGAACAATCCGGGCTAGGTCGTGTTTCAGAGCAGGTCGGTAAACACCTCATTTTTGAAATCCAGATTATATCTGTTTTGGTATCTGACGGGAGTGTGTTGTCTGACTACTAAAAAGTAGCGGTTGGTGCTTATTTTTTCTCACATTCTGGCGAGCATGTCCCCCCCCCGCAAAAAAAATACTATCGTTCCTGAATAACTGCGATGTGCGGCGAAGCAATGTGGCGAGCTGGATCACGAAAATCCAGTGCTTTGTTATTCACCATCCTTCGGGTGCTTTTTGATATATCGGTGGATCGCTTCGCTGCGAGAATTTCCTTTCCGTAGGTATAACGTCGTCTACACCCATTTCCAGTGTTTAGATTTACAGGCGGCTGCTGGAGCTCTTCCAGCTACTAAAACCCTGCACCCGCTGAAAGATGTTTTCCTTTGAGAACATTGGATAACGGTGCTGAAAGTGTTACGTGTATATGGGAAGGGGGGGAGAGGTAAGGGTGCCCAACCAGACAGAAGAAAAAGGTAGGTGAAAATCTGGGAGGATTTTCCAATGCAAGACCGTGAATCTGGTCGGAAGTATTGCGGAATATTCAGCAGGCTCCTTAAAAGCAATTTGTTGATTCAACTACAGACAGGATCCACTTTCTGAAATATTGGAAGAGGGATCCCTGTGGGTGAGGGCTGAAAACTCCGGCAACCCAATCTCCTCTTTAAAATGGAAAGATCCTCCTGTAATACGACCTTTCTTGGTGTTCTTTTCCAATTCAGCTCAGTAATCCTAAATTATTTTCCAATGTGCAAGGAGCATAAATGCCTTGAATCTTTTTAGGTTTTTCTGTACCATAACAGGTAGGTCATGTTTGGAACCAATCAGCTGAATTTGGTAAAAAAACAGAAGTACACCTCAATTTCCACCTCCTTACTAGGTTGCCAATTCTTTTTCTTACTGTTTAATAAGAACCAGTGATTCTGCCCCCCTTTCTCCCCCATTTCATGATAAGCAGAGATAGATCTTTTCCACCACCTACTTTTCATTGCAGCCTCATCACTAACCATAATTTGAGGCAAGCTACACACACACACACACACACCCTTCTGAATAAAAGTAAACACAACAGAAAAGGCTGATTCTTATTTTCAGTATGTGTAATCCAGAAAGATCTAGTGGGTGGATGATAGAACTTGAATTGATAGTTGAAATGTTGCTTACCAAAGAAAGTGAAAATACACATGGGCTTCTATGGTCTCACTCATTTAAATTATTTCTGACTCTTCTCTGAGTGTTTTTCCTCTTTTTTTCCCCCTTTCCCCTTCTCCTTTTTCAAATCAGGTGTTTATGTGAAGGCCTCCTTTCTCAATCTAGCTAAGAACAGCTAGGCTTAGGCCTTTGCATGCTATCTGTACCCTTCTCTTGTTAAAGCAATTCCACACCAGGAAAAAAAACCATTTAGAAACATCTAAAACTGTCTTTAAAAATCAGACTTTTCACATAGTTTGTATAGTATAGATAACTTTTATCTTCTACAGTTTTGGAACCTGATCCTGAGTTTTGTATTTACCCAAATTATGAATTTGACAGGAGATACATGGTGAAATCATAAAAGGTTAAGGAATACATGTTTGTTTTATCATAATGACCTGATGTTAGTTTCCAAAAAGCTAACTGTACTCCTACTATTTGCATTCCAAATTGGTAAACAAGAGGGCAGGTGATTGGATTACCAAGGAAGAGATTATTTCCTAGTAAACTATCATCTTTGTGGCTGCTGATCTACATTCTGAGTCTTATATGCTCTCTCACATAACTCCCTCTTGTTTTATGGATTTTCCAGTTTTGTTTACTGTAACTGCTCCCTTTTTGTATACTAAAACAGAAGACAGCATTCCTCCCAAGAAAAATAATGTAAAGGGCACAGCAATATTATTTTATAAATGGGTAGGTAAAACAGGACTGAAGAAAAAAATATTGAAAGCAAAAGAACACCTCATCTTTGAAAGTTAGCTGTTCCCTGTAACAAAGCTTGACCAAGGTGTAAACTTCAGTAAGTGATATTTGGCTGTGGCTTTAAGACACAAGGATTAAAATATTCAGAAAGCAAAAAAAAAAAAGTCCAAGAATCTCTGATATGGGCAATCCTAACTATGAAAATATAAGAAAAATTATAGAGTTACTATATCGTTTTTTTTTTTCTTTCAGCAAAAACAGTCCAGATTCTTAAGAAAATGTGAGTTTAAGTGATAATAGCAAAACATCCACACAGAAAGGGAATGTTTAGGGAAGCCAACAGCTTTTTAAAACTTTCTACTAAACTGAATATAAGCAATAGACCTAGAGGTATTGATTTGCATTCACATAACAATCCCAAAAGAAACTAAAACTGCAAACCTACAAATACACTTCCTTGGAAGTAAGACCCTCTGAATTTACTAAGATATTTTTGTAATTAAATAAATCCATTTTATTGGTTAGTCCACAGATAAGGGACACAGGAAATATACTCATTGATTAAAATGTTTTCTCTGAGTAATCTACAATTAGTCTACAATGTGACCATAATAGGATTATATTTCAGTTCTTTGCAAGTGCAGAAGCAACACAGCTTTGTTTTTAAAGGTGGCATTCTTCAATTTCCCCCTTCTTTCATTTCACTAGTTTTCCATGTTTGCTTGCACTTCCTTCCCCAAGAACAATTTTAGATCCATCCAGGATTGCAAAACACATTATATTCTAAATCCACTATCTGCCCTTTTGTTTAGGATATTGCTTGTTTTGTTCTCAGTTGCAACTGCCAAGTCTTAAATGAGAGAAGTGGAGCTATCTCTCACACATGCAGTGTATTTGCTAATAAGGTACAATACAGACACTTTATTTTTTACACACCTTATGTGGACACATCTTTAATTAGAAATAGTCATTTAAGTCCTCCTTCCTTTATAAAATTGGGAAATGGGCTCTTTGGATTTTAAACCCACTTTCTATCAAAGTAGGACAAGACCATCAGTATCATTATATATCTATTACCTTAGCCAAGAACCTCATCCCCTTATCCTGTTCCTTATTTTTTTTTATTTCTATCATGCCACAACAGGAAATACAGTTTCCCATCATATTTGTTTATTTATATTCACAATATTTGTTTTTGTGTGGCGTAGGCTGGATGTCAGAGCAGTACCGTTTTGGCAACTATAGCTTCTCCATTGCAGTATCTCTCAGAAGAGACTTAAGTTCGGCTTTTAAAAGCAGGAGTAGGAGAGGGGGGGTGGTCTCTCTGATACCATTAAAGCTGAGGACCAAGCAAGCGGCCAGAAATGGCCATGCAGAAGGCAGCTGTTGGTGTCCTCCCAAAATATGCCAGCTCAGAAAGCTTTCCAATCAAAGGCACCAGCCATGGATTCTCTATCCAGGGATGCCGAAGAAGTTGACATCCGGCTTTCCTAGGGCTCTAGGCTCCCGCGCGAACTATCCCACGAGCTTTCCATAGTCAAAGCAAGCAAAGGCTCTGCAGGTAAGGCCCGGCCAGAGCGTGGGGATACGCCTGTCGCGTGTGTGAACCCAACCCTTCGGGAGAGGGCACATTTGCCCACTGCCTCGCGTTTCTCTTCCTCGTTCTCTGCCTTCAGGTGGTGAAGCTGGGGAACCCGGAGATCGCCAGGCAGTTGCTGCTGCGAGGCGCCGACCCGGATCTGAAAGACCGCACCGGCTTCGCTGTCCTGCACGACGCGGCCCGGGCCGGCTTCCTCGACACGCTGCAGATTTTGCTGGAGTTCCAAGCGGACGTGAACGTGGAGGACAACGAGGGCAACCTGCCGCTGCACTTGGCCGCCCAAGAGGGCCACCTGGCCGTCGTGGCCTTCCTTCTGGAGCGCACGGCCAGCCGGGTGGAGCATCGTAACAAGAAGGGAGCCACCGCCTACGACCTGGCGAAGCTCTACAAGAGGCAGGCCGTCGCCAAACTGCTGGAGAACAGCAGGCGGAGGGAGGGCGCCCTCAGCGGAGACTGAAGCCCACCCCTTGCCCCGGACTCCAAAGTGCCCGCTTGTACACCTGTCGCCTCTGCTTTCCTCTCTTTCTCTCTTCATCTTAATCGAAGTATACACGTAGGTGGGGTCGGTCTTTTTCAAATGCAGACATGGGGGTGATATTTTTTTCCTCTTGGGGGGGAAAAAAAACTACTCCAGTAGCAGCTTTTCTCGGAAGCATCTTATGAATACTTTTTCTTTTTTTTTCTTTTTCAAGAAAAGTTTGCTTTTGCTGCTCAGCCCACCTTTCATTTAAGGGAAGATGGGGTGGGTGGGTGGGAATGTTGAAGATCTCTTTTTGTGCTTTCTGATAACTTTCTCTCTCGAGATCTATAAAGGCTTACTGTGATTTCCCATCCCTAGCGTAACAGAGGTTAACATAATATGAAAAAGTGCATGAAGGAGGGTATATGTGAAAGACCTTTTGTGCCAGAAGGAGCAGGGGGAGGAAAAGAGAGACTTTTGGACAACTGAATCACAAACTTTTGATGAGATGGATAAGCTAACAAAAGGTCTATGGAACATTCACTAAAAATGCTTTCATTGTTATTTTTCTTCTATTTTTATTGCTGTGCCTTATCTTCTAAACATCTCTTTTTCTGAAGGAAGTTCTCCTGAAATCTGGCTTTCTTCTAGTTAAACATGTTTAGGACCAAAGGTTCAGTTGATTCACCACATGTATCTGAACAGAGAGGAAATCTCAATTTGGGATGGTTTGAATAATGAAGCTTCAATATAACATATAATAATGAGAGTAAGAAGGAATGTATCAAGTCCAAAGTCACACAGTGTGGAATATGATTTCTTGGCTATTTGCACAAACACAAGTTTAAGATAAAAGAGTAATTTATAAGATTAGATCATGTTTAGTGACTTGATCAGATTTTGGGAATGCTCTAGATTTTTCTCAGATTAAACTGCCAGACTAGTACTATTTACTCAAATTTGTTCCAGTAGAATTAATCCAGAATAAGCATTTATTTTTGTTGTTAAGACTTTGGATTTTTGATCAAAGCCTCTTTTACAGAGTCCATAAATTTCTATAGAATAGTGTAGTACAGATGCTCAAAAGCAAAAATGTGAAATTGGATTCTTTTAGGTTGCAGTTTTCTATATATCTATGTGGGTTTGAACTGCATTGAACTCTGAATAGAGCTTAGTTCTGAGCAAACATGGCTAGAATTGCACTGTTACTTGGAGTTCTAGGATTGCTGAGTAGAAAAGCTGACTATTAAACAGATGTATTTTGCATGGGAATAAATTACAAAACCTATTCCTTTTATCAATTATTTAGAATAATCTCACTCTTCCTGATAGTTTACTGATTAAAAACTTCAGTTTATTGCAATGGAGAGAATTCATTACCATTCGCCTCAACAAAGAGTTCTCTGCATCAACTGTGTGGTAAGATGGGATGTGTGTCCTAGTTCAACTGCTGCTATGAAGATAAAAACCTGAGAAAGTGTGATATTTTATGTGACTCAGGTCTTAAACTATTATTTCCAAGAGGGGTGACCAATCCAGCTAGATTGGTCACTTTCAGTATCTGAAAATTTGACTCAACATTTTTTAAAGAAAGGGTTCATAAATTGCATGAGGCAACTTCACCCCCAGCCTGCATTGTAGAAGCTTTTTCTTTCTCGAACAAAAATTTCAGAAGGACCAGTTAAAAACTAAACCAATCATATCCTTTTCCAGACATTAAAAAGCAAACCAAGGAATTTGCTCTCTGTAAAACCAAACAAAACCTCATATTTCCTTTCTGGTGAACCTGCCCCTCCCATCCTCATGAGGGGTTTAATTTAAAAAAAAAAAGCTTTAATATTCGAAAAGCTAGTAAACATATAGGCAAGCTTTTAGCAGATGATGGAGTTTCATAATAAGTTTCATAAAAGTTAGTCAAATTGTTAACACAGAAGAAACATCTGAACCCTGTGGTTTCAGAAATGACTTGCATGGTTTCCCCAGTGTCAGGCCAAAGGAGGAAGGAATGCTCTTTCTCTTTTTCAAAACCTTTTCATAGTTAATGTGGTTAATATGAACTCTTAGTGTTGCCAACCTAACAGCAAGTAACATTAATTCGATTTCTCTTAAATATAATGCAGAAGGTGGGGAACCAATCACACCCAAAGTTTTCTCAAAAAGCCATATATTTATCCATGGCCTTTAACTATTTTTCACTTGGCACCAACATAGCTAAAGAGCAATATCTTAGAGATGGGCAGCTACCCCATTATTTCATTTGGACTTGTTAATAGGTAAGCAAATTTGAGATTAGGATTCAATCTGACATGTTCTGCTTCGTTAGAGCTTCTGCCCAGAGTCCAAACCAAACAGTTATTTTTTTTTAATCTCAGAGCACTAACATTTGGATTCTCTACATCTAGTCCCACCTTTGAAGCAGGTCAAGACTAAAATATAGGTGGAAGTTCCAAAGCCTACAATGGCTTTAAAATTCGGGCTCAATAAACCCAAGTCGCATTTGTAGTCAACTGAGAAGATCTTCAGACAAAATGACTTCTGTGGAGCAGGTGAGCTGTACTAGACTCCGTTTACCTGGAAGAAGACTTCATTTCGGTCTCTGGGACAGGTGGCACTCTCTGCCCATGTTCAGGGAACAGAAAAGGGGACCTGGCTCAGTATAACCAGTTTCCTCCAAGCTCTGTTCTGTTATTTGCCAGTCCTGCAGTCTTGTTGCCCACCACCAGGAACGGAGTGCCACTGACTTTTAGGGCGCTTTCTTTGACCCCTGGAAACCTCGCTTTGGAGACTTGGATCCCAGGACCATCTCAATGAGACTTGCTATTCCCAAGTAAACATCGGGAGAGCTGGAGCAGTTTACTTGTCAGAAGTGAGTGCCACTGAAAATCACCCGCGTGGAAGAAGGTAGGTGATATATTAGAAGAAACTAACGGGAGGGGACGAAGAGAAGTAGGGAGGTAGATGAGTCCCCAGCGTCCTAGATCTTTCACGCCCATATTCCGAACGGGTTTGGCAATGGCGCGCTCGCTGCTGAAGTACAAAGTTAGAGGGCGGATTTGAAAGCGACCCAGGGCATCTACCTCATGTTTGCTAGACCTGGGCGATCCCTCCGGGGAAGCGGGAGATGTAATTTGGCTGCTACGGCAAACTCAGCCGGATGCCCTGCACCGCAGGTAAGGTGCTTCCCGCGCACAGCAGAACAAGCACCACCACCCGTGGAGTCGAAATCTGTATTTGGCTTTCTGTCCTGGGAATCCGTGTGAATCCTGAGCCGGCTACCTCTTATTTAGCCAGACCCAGGACAAAACTGGGGGCGAAGAGGGAGTCCCTCCGCTCCACTCCTTCTAAGGACCGGGAGCAAAAAGCGTGGCCCCGATGCGAGGTGCTCAAAATGTCGGAGCTGTTCCCGGCCTTTGCGCCGCGTCTTTTCCTTCGCGGCGCTCCGTGCCTCTCCTGCTGGGAATCGTCCGAGGTTCCAGTCCGCCGCGGTGCTCGAAGCCAAGGCTGGGGCCATGCGGGGTCCGCGCCTAAGAGCCAAGCCGCGAGTGGGAGGGGAGAGGCAGCTTCAGAACCGTTACTTCGCTCCCCCCGCGCTCCCTTTCCCGTCCCCGTCCCCATCTGCGTCCCTCCCCCTTTACGGTTTCTTTTCCTTTTCTCTTCCTGTCCAAACATTTTTAAATTTCCGCGCCTTCCCTAACAGTCTGATTGTACAGTATTGATTTGGCTTCTTCCTTCGCGGTCTTCGGCGCTCTTTCTTTTTGCCCTTCTGGTCAGCCGGGGGTTCGCGTGGGCTTCTCTCGCAGCCCCTTTCCCGGAACCAGGCAAGGCGAGGCAGGAGCAGGAGCGATTTAGGATGCGCCCTCGCCCACCGCGCCTCAAGGTCTCTCGCAGCCGGTGCAACCTGCTGCGCTGGATGGGCGAGATTTGCGGGTTCTCACCAAAGCCGAAGTCCCAGCCAAGCGGCCGGAAACGCCGAGGCAAAAACGCCGTCCCTCTGCAGTTTTCCTTCGGCGAGGAAGATGCCGGGGGAGGGGGAAAGGCGGTGTGCGTTTGCGCGTGTCTGGGAAGCTGCAGCTGGAACGGCTCCTTTTCCTTCTAGAATCGCCAAAGGCAACTGTCCCAAGGCGGCCTTCGCCCAAGAGGTCCCAGCACATGGAAAACAAAGGCGAACGGCGAGGAAGGTATTCTCATTTTATTTTACAGCTGTTTTATAATTAATTCTTAACTTACGTTTTCTGTTGCCCAATCAACGCCAGTATTTCATGTGGAATTAAGAAAGAAGAAAATCGCATTTGTGAATCACCTTAACTAAAGTTCAGGACAGACGCTTTTCTCAATATCAGCTCCGTGCGAATGATAGAGAGGAGGAAGAGATTTCTCCTGCCCTGCTTCAGACGAAATCCATAACTTGGTCCTGTTATTTTCCATATTACTGGATGTCAGCCAAATGGGAGTTATAATTTTGAGAAATCTCATTTTTACAAAGCACTTATCAAAGAGATGCCAGCTCTTTGCAGCTTTTGGAATGACTTCTGTGGAAAGAAACTTGTTTATCTATTAAGTTGGATTGTTTAATGCCATCCTAAAAATCCATATCAGTATCAGCCTAAAAGCTGAAACCATCATCTTACAGAAGAACTTTTTTTTTTCTATGCCCTTAAATTTGGGCCTATGACTATGTTTCCAAAGCTTATAAAAAAGTAATATGCTTAATAACACTTTGAAAAAAATCAGCCATCTTATCTTACTTAAATATTACCACCCCTTTTCAGGCAATAATGTAATTATTTAGAACATCATTACCACTCTGCAAAATGATCACACCATGAAGAATATTAACTACATTTTTGAAGGAAATATGACATTATTAAGCCAACCTTTGTTCCTTTTAATAAAATATTTTGAAAAGGGGATGAATCTGAAAACTTAATTAGTTAATTCAATACTCTTGATTAAATGTAAGATTTAAGCAACTAAATAGTGGGAAACATTTGGGTTCATTTTTTTGCTACTTTTGAAATACTACTTTTAATAATCAGAGTTGGGCCTTTCTAGTATCAGAAAATGTTTTTCATACATTAATAAATATAAATAATAAAACAAGCATGATTTATGGGGTGGATTTTAAGATGTAATTTTACTTACATTGTTAAGTTTTATTCTTCATGAACATAAAGATTCTTGAAAATTGATTTGTGCTTGAGAATGAAATCAATATTTTAAGAATTAGGTTACTTAACTGATACAGAATGTCAATAGAGAAATATGGTATTTTTAAGACAATAAACTTTGCATCCTTGTTTAGAAGTTATTTTTTGACAGTCATACAATATATTATTCCTGCTGTTTTACCCCAATGTCTTCTAACCAGAAGAAAATAGCTATCATCATGTTCGAGTAACAGCCATTTTACTGGAGGTTTGAATGGGAAGTTCCATTTCAGGCCTTTTCTCCTTCTCGGTCTAAATGACATTTAGATTCAGATTGTTTTTGCAAGAATTTATCTTCAGTATATGCTAATATAATGTGATGCAGCATACATTTGCAGAAATTTATCCATTTTATAATGGTATATTATGGTGCAGTATATATATTACATTATTTCTATTTTGGATGCTACTAAACAAGGAATACAAGATGTTTTAAAAAGTTACACAGTTAAAAAGAAACAAAACTCTTCTGCTGTTAATTAAACTCCCTGCAGTATTTCCTACATTCTAAAAATAGGAAAAATAACATTGGTAGGAAAAGTCAACTTTAACCTAGAACAATTTAATAGAATTTATATTTGATGAATTCTGCCTTCTGTTTGGTCATTATCCCTCTCTTTGGTAATAAGTGAAAGAGAAAAATGGATGGGATACAATGCATATTGAATATTGGATTTCCATTAACCTTAAATAGAATGCACAATATTTTGAATCATGCCTTGTTAGATTATTTATCATGGATTAAGCTAAACAAAATTTAAGGAGGACATTTTTATGTACTTTCTGATTTAGGTTTTCATTTTAAGAATTACAAAATGGGTGGGGTTCATTAGGAACATCAAATCAAAGGTAGAACTTCTAAATGAAAGCATCATTAGAAGATGGATGTCTAGCTTCTGCTTGAATACATCCAGGAAACATAAGCTACCCTCAATCTCTCTATCCAGATAATAGTTTTCACTGTCAAATCCCCTCATTATTAGGAACTTTCTGTTCTAACATTCACTTAAATCCATTCTTCCTATCTTTATGCTCTAGGATACAGAGCTTTTCCCCACCATAACATCCTTCATAACTTGAAGGATATTATCGTATTCTCCACGCCCCCTCTTTTTCAAGGGTAAACATTTCCAGTTTCTTCAAACTGTCTTTATGGGACTTAATTTTTAATCCCTTGACCTTCTCTGAACTTTTTGCAGTGTGTCTAAATTTTAAGTGTGGTGTCCAAAATTGTACACAATAATTTAGGAGAGGTCTGAGTAATGCTGTATGAAAATATATGATTTGGAAACCTTTATTGACATAATATCACACTGTGTTTACTTTTAAAATAAATTATTTTCAGTCAATGCCTAGATCAGCATTTCTGCAGCCACATCACAATTGAACAAATTGACTCATGTTCAGTTTATAATCAATTGTTATTTTTGTTTGAAAGCAAAGTTTGTTTAGCTTTTAAAGCAATTTCTATTTAAAATAAGTGGGTGTAATTCTGCTACATGTATAGAACCAAAACTATATGTATAGAACTTGGAAAACTAAGTAATTAAGAAACTGCTAATCAGACAATAAGCTCTACTAATCTAATTTTATCCCCTAGAAGCAAAAAGTAACATATTTTAAGTATTATCAAAAGTTAATGAAAGTTTACTTTTTTCAATTTAAATAAACATTGATATAATCAATAAAATCAGTATGGTTGACAAAATCAGAATTAATTTTATGAATCAGTGAAACCAATATGATTCTATGTTATTTTATTACACTCCACTAAGAAAATCAAAATGTCCTGTCTCTGTCTCAAAACAGAAATTTATAGCATGCTTTTTTTCTAAGCTAAAGTCTACTTGATTAGATGGATATATTTATACCGTATTTTCTGGCATATAAGACGACTTTCTAAAGCATGCAAATCGGCTCTGAAGTTGGGGGTCATCTTATAGGCCGAGTTGTCTTATATGCTGGAAATTATGGTAGTTTCCGGCATATAAGATGACTTTCTAGGCATACAAATAGGCTCCGAAGTCGGGGGTCATCTTATACGCCGAATCGTCTTATACGCCAGAAAATACGGTATATATAAAATCATATATGCAAGTGTTATCCCATAAATTGGCATAGAATGGTACTTTTTCCAATATGTATTATGTATAGTGCAGCCCAACATACACAGAGAAGTGGCAAATAAGCTTGTCTTGATGCATGGTACTCTAAAATAGAAAACCTATTGCCTACTTTAATAGTTGGTGCTTCTATTCATGCGTCTTAATGTATCTACAGGCATATAGACATTTTAATATAAAACCCACAGAGTGCATTTTGGCATCCTTTGGAGCAAATTCTAGAATTGGTAATGCATGTCTATTCATTTCATGCTATATATGAACAATGACACTGGGTGCCAATTTCACAAATAAACTAGGCCACCATGGCTTGTTTAATAAGCCATAATTTAAACTTCATTTCTTACTTAGCATTATGTGACAATAGAAGTATTTGCTCATTCTGCTGCACTTTCCTTTTTTTGCAGAGAAATGGATCCCAATTTTGTCATGTAGGTACATTCATTGGTTTCATATACGGTAGCTCAGTAGTTTTCCTCATACTGTTTTGAAAGGTTCCTATAAAGTTGAAAACCCATTACTTCAGGAAAAAGTACTATTATATTACTTGAATAGAAAGACAACAGGTTTGTCTTTTGGATGTAAATGAAGATATTTTTTAGGATCTCCATTTTAGGCCTTTATGAAAACTCTGTGCAGTTACATTGTTTAATTACAGTACTATGTTCCTTTTTCTGATGTTGCAGCATTTTTATTATTAGCATCCATAGAAGAATGATATATTGAACTGACATGGGATACCAATTACATTTAAAAATGAGAAAAGGATTTTTATACTCTAGGTATTATTAATAATTAAATTAGGTACAAATTAACTAACAAATATATAATACTTATAGGACGAACCCATAAACCCATATATTCATTCTTTTTTCAATTATTTGTTTTCAATCTAAAGAATATTCATGCAGTATTCACATAGACAGTTTGGTCTAGTGGTTAAAGCATCAGGTTAGAAACGAGGAGACTATAAATTCTAGTCCTGGCTTAGACAAGAAAGCCAGCTGGATGACCTTGGGCCAGTGACTTTCTCTCAGCCCAACCCACGTATTGTTGTGGGGAAAACAGTATTCAAAAGACAAAGTTAGCCACTTAAGTTATTTATAAAAATAATAAAGGTAATATATAAATGAAATTAATGGTCAGTTGTTTTGGAGAATACTATACCTTCTTAAAAAAGGAACAGAAATTACATTAATTTAAATCCCTGAACAGTTATATTTCATAATAATATAACTATTTTATTTGAGCTGAAAAAATTAAGTTGAACAATCTATGGGAGTAAAGAGATAGAATTTTCCATGTCTCTTTGCTGCCATCTATCAGTCATCCAGATTTTTTCACCCCAGATAGGGTGGCTGTTAGTAAAAAGCAGATTAAAAAAAAATCTCCCTTCACCTATTACCACATTAAAGAAGACAAACAAATAGGAGAGAAATTAAAGAATCAAACTTTAGGCTTATATAGATAGGCTCCTTTGTCTCAGCAATATCAAAGTTTGCTGTTCCGTTTGTTTTTAAATCTGTAAATAAAGCTGATTTTAAAGATGTAATAATGTAGTTGTTTTTTTTTTCCCTGAAAGAAACTGGCTCTATCATAACTCAGTAAAGAATCAATGTTCCCAAAAGTGCAAGCTAAATTATATACATATATTTTAATAGTAAATCAATTTCTCTTATCCCTCATCCATAATGTACAATTTACTCTTCAGTGAGCTTTTAATCTTATGTTATCTCATCTGTAGATAAGTTCCACTGAAGTTAGTGGAACTTCCTTCTGACTAGAATTCTATATTTGTTCTATAAGAGAATGATTATTGCAGTAATATAAACATATATAAACTAAATATATTTAGTTGTTCTCAGACAACATAAACCACTTAAAGAATGAAAGTAGTTCATTCTAAGTCCTTTACAGAAGCTTGTCTTCACTAGTTAAATGAGTTGACTAAATATTGTTTCTCATTTTACAACACTATTTGAAATGATTTAATTGAACTTTAGATAAGATAACTTCACCACGGCTTATTTGAAGAGAAAAGAAAAAAACACATAATAGTGCCAGAGTGCTTTTGGAAGATTTTCTCAATATTTAAGACAAAGAAAAAAAACTATCTGATATTAAAGAACTTGAAAAGCTATTTGTTTTATTTCTACCTCAGCATCTAATTAATCTACTCAAGCCTCATTCAAAATGCACAGATTAAGACTGTGCCAGTAAAACAAAATTGCAGCACAATCTTATGCCTGCCTATTCAGACATAATCCCCATTTCAGTTTGGCTGAATTTTTACTAGGTGAGTGTCTATATAGGATTATACTTTGGGCTCTTATGAATAATCACAGAACCAGTATTTCCTATTTTGGATTTTTTAAAAACTCTGAAATAATATTTTTAACATAATGTTTGTATGAAATACAAATAAACCTTGGTGATAACCATTTATGTATTTTGCAGGTACCGAGCCTTCTTTAAAAGTATTAATCTTATAAAGTGGAATTGTTTTCCCTCCTGCTTTCAAACTTTTGTATGCCATATTTATGCATTTGTTGAGGAATTTTCATACTGAGGATTGAATTCTGCCTCCACTTAACTGCAGAGTTCTCCCTATATAGCAAGAGATTTGAAAAGACCTGGGCTTCAAGTAAACAGTTTTAGGGAGAGGCTTAGGGTGTGCTGTTGCTCAGCCATTAAGAGGCTAAAGATCTAGTCCCCTCTGCTCCAGATCCTACCCTCCCCATTCAAATCCCACCTTCTGAAGGCAAGTGCTGACAATGGCACTCATCCTCCAGTCTTTGCCCTCTCTGGCAACATGCCTAGAAGCCTGGATCTGTGCAACAGACTGCACCATAGAGGGAGGGTAAAGGCTTCCAGCAACTCCTCTTCTGATTACCAATTTTCCCTACATACGAATAGTCATAAATAACAGTTTAAAATGGAAAGCTAGAAATATTCTGATTATATATATATATATATATATATATATATATATATATATATATATATATATCAGATTATATATATATATATATATCAGATTATATATATATATATATATCAGATTATATATATATATATAATCTCTATATTAGAAATATAGTGTTTAACTGATCTTTAATACAAAAAGCTCTTAATTCGGTAAATTTGACAAATTCTGAGATACTTTATCTAGAGGGATGGGATTTACTTTATGGGTGGCATGCCTATTTAACATTCAATAAAAAAATGGACTGGGCTTTTAAATCTCATATCTTAAGAATTTCTTTACTTAGGATTTGGAGAAAATATTATAAAAGTGATTTCAAAGTACCATTATGGGCTATACCTTGGCATGCGATAGAAGCAATAAAAAGAGGGGTTAAAATGGATATGGTGTCTTACAGACAGTTACTTAAATGGGATGGACAAAACTGGCAATTAAAATCACGGGAAGAGTTAGCACAAGAAAACTTTATTTATTCTTGGTTCCAATATAGGCAATTACTAGACAGATGGAAGATGGATTGTAAGGTGGGTTTTCTTAGAGAAGATGAAAATCTTATTAAGCAAGTGAAGGATTCAAGACAAACCCACATTAAGAGAATTTATGCGGTTTTAGTTGAATTGGATTCAGAAACGGAACTAATTAAAGACTGTATGATTAGATGGGCGCAGAATTTTGGTGAGCCAGTCTCATTCGACACCTGGGAAAATATTTGGGTGAGAAATGTCAAATTTACACAAGCACAGAACTTAAGGGAGAATTTTTATAAAATGTTTTATAGATGGCACCTTGATCCACAAAAAATGTCTTATATGTACCCTGACGTGCAACCCAAATGTTGGAGATGTGGTTATAAGGAGGCTTCCTATTATCATATTTGGTGGTCATGCAGAGAGATAAAAGCATTTTGGATCAAAGTATGGTGGAATATCCAGAGAATTTTTAGAAGGAGGGTAAAATTTACTCCGCAATTATTTTTGTTAGGTATTGTTACAGATTGTGATACAAAGGAGGTTGTATTGATGTTAAATTTGATTACAGCCGCTAGGCTGTTAGTAGGACAATATTGGAAGAAGGAATCTTTGCCTACATTGCAGGAATGGTTTCTTAAAGTAGCTCATTTGGCGGAAATGGCAAAGATTTCGGCTTTCTTAAAGCAACAAACGCAAGAGAAGTTTTTTTGCTGTTTGGGATAAATGGATAAAATTTATACAATTTAGATTGGGTATACAAAAATATTATATAGTTTTTTCATAAGTTTTATTTTCATATATATTATAGATAATCTTTTTATATATATAAATATAAAGTTCTTAATTTAATTTTTATTTTTATTTCTTAAGCCTATATTCTGCTCTGGGAAGCTCGGGGGGGGGGGGGAAGGGAGGGGTTTTTTTTTTTTTTTTGGGAGGGGTGGGGGATGGGGTTTTTTTCTTATATATGTATTGTTTAGTTTTATTTTTTTGCATATGTTGTCTCTTGTTTTGTATTCTTTTTTCTTTTTTGTAAAATTTATAAAACTTTTAATAAAAATAATAATAATAAAAAAAAGCTCTTAATTCATACAATACCTACTACTAAAAGCAGTGATGATGATGTCATTCTTAGAATGTGACAAAGGGCTAATAGTATATACTGTATGCTGTAAAAACAATGAGTCAACAGTTTCTGTGACCCCTGAGGTCAAGCTTTCTACAGACTGAAAGTAGCCTATTCTTTAAACACCCAGAATTTGCAGTTATTAACTACTGCATTATGTAAAAATGTACAGTGTTAAGATAACAGACTAACACAACTTTTTTGTTCAGAATATAACTTCTCAAAATGTTTATTGTCATAAAAAAGAAAGACTCTTATTGAAATTTTAGAAAACAAATTCTTGATATCTGCTCAAAATTCAGCTGTGTAAAATTATCCTTCTCAAAACACTGAGAACAGGCAGCACTGCAAAATGGAGTCTTACTTATGCCAAGCATCCAATTTCCTTTATACTCAAGACAAGTCTTATTGCTGATTTTCAGACTTCATCTGTATATAGGTATCACAATAGTTTTCTAATGATTTTAACCAAAAATCTCCTTACTTTTCAAATTATAAAATTATACATATAAAAACTTAGAGAGCTCTTGATACTTTAAATTACATTTCAAGTCAGAGTTTTAAATTTCCTAAACAGATTTGTTGGGTATACAATCTATTGTTCAAATATTGACTACCTTTACACAAGTTTAAAGACTGCATAAATCTTTCAAGGCCAATGGTGCTCTTTTTTATCATTCTAACAGGGAAAAAACAAAACACTGACTAACCTCCATCAGAAAAAGAAAGGGGTGCTAAGTCAAGTCTTGACTGCTGATATTTATTTTGATCATTAAGGATATGCGTGTGTGTGTGTGTGTGTGTGTGTGTGTGTGTGTGTGTAAAACCATATTTGTCATCTTTCAGGTTCCTCTGCTTCATTTACCTGGAAGCTTAGTTTAGGGTTTAGAGGTTTTTTTTAATTGTTTATAAAGATAGTTCCACTTGGTAGTAATACTGCAATTTATTTTGTTTATAATTACTTTGAGCTTATTTTTATAGGAAATATTTAATAAATTACTAATATGCCAAGTTAGCTGACCCTATTAAATAAAACTGTAACTCCATAGTTTATAAACGAATGACTATTTCATGTGAATTATTTTTTGAACATATAAATATTTGAATTTCTGAAATTGCTTTATTATTTAATTAGATAAGGAATTTTAAAAAGCATTTTGATTTAATTACAGCAATGAAAAGATTTCCAGTTTAAACTCAAGACAAGTAGAGCACTAATGGTTCCTGCTCTATTAGTCAGGTAAGCAAACTTCCCAACGGAGTCTAAGTTCCCCCCCCCCCGCTCAGGTAGGCCAAACTACCTACTTCATTGTTTGTACAAGAGAATGCATAACAATTTAATTTTACTGAAGATTATTAAAATATTAGTTGTGCTTTAGCCTCATAATAAAGAGTCATTACTTCTTATACTAGTGGGTCATGGGTTGATCGTAGAAATAACAGGAAAAAAATCCAACTGTAACAGTCTGCAACTCTTAAAAAGTAATGATTTTAAAGTACCATGTTTTCTGGCGTATAAGACGACTTTCTAAACCATGCAAATGGTTTAGAAGTTGGGGGTCGTCTTATACGCCGAGTCATCTTATACGCCGGAAAATACGGTAATGGTTTTAAAGTAATGGTTTTATTATGCTGCTTCCCATAAGTTCAGATCTGAATTTAAGGTATGTTGGCAATATTGTTTACTTTTCTTTCTTTTTAAGCTACAATACAATCAAGAGATGACACCCAGTCCTAATATAGGACCACAATTGCACAACTAAACAAGAGCAGCAATGTTAATAGTATTGAGTTGCACCTAAGGTATTCTTGTCATTAAACTGCTCTTATTATAAACCCTGTGCTGCCAATTATTTATTTATATTTCAGAAAGGTTCACTGCAAACATTAGAAATATATTCCTGAGAAATATATTCCTTGCCCATTGACAAGTAGGCTTTACATAGCTCTTTGCACTGGAATTTGAATATTGTCTTCTGTAGTATTCCTTTGTATGACTAAATGTCTGGGAATTACCAGTATTATATGCTATTTCATTTCTTTTCAACTTTTGTATTTTAATACTAATACTTTTAATACTAAGAATTAATTCTATGTTTATTGACTTTATCTGTAAAGGTCAATAAAAATAACTAAATTTTACATTCTCATTTACTTATTTATTCACATACATATTTCTAAAAGTTATATTTCAAAATAACACAGCTTATTTCCTAGAAAAAAACCAAGAAACTATACAATAAATCATCTGGACCAACATTTATAAATAAATACCCATAATCCTACAAAGATGTATGTTTATTTTTCTGAAACAGACATTTGTCATATGATTTTTATTGCATTCTTGTTAAAATCTTTGTTAAATTTAAAGGAATAAAATTTTAAAAGTTACAGAAAGGTGCTTGAGTGACAGAAAGGTAGTATACAGCTGCCTACTGCTGTCATATTTTCCTTTATTTTTCCAGAAAAATTAAAAAACAACTAAGGAAAGTATCAATAACAATACATTTTTAAATAAAACCAATTTAACTATTTAACATGTCTATCTATATACAAATATTTCTACACAAACATTTTAAATACCCATACGTTTTGCCTAAAACAACCTGTTTAGAAATGAAGGTAAGTTTATTAGGACATTTTATAGCAAACAAACTTTACTAAATTTACAATTAATAAGTTTTAAGGAGTGCTTTGTTACTATTAATTTTCAGCAAAGCAATTTCCCATATTTTAAAATAACCCTGAGACAATGAAAATGTATTTTTGTTTTACAACAGTAAACTCAATAGTTAACAATAAATACTTAATCGATTTATTTTCCCGGATCAATTGATAAGTATTAGGAAATAGGATAAATTAATAAATATCATTTCATATCATGAAATGTGGTCAGTAAACAAGTAATAAATTTATATTGCTCACTGTTCAAAATTAACAAAGATTGTTTCTATCTGCATCTATTTAGTCTCAACATAATTTTTAAAAATTACATAATTTTCTTAATTTTTTCAAAAACATTTGACAAAAAAGCATTATTAAATTTGGCATTGTCATCAAAGTTTGTATGTATCAATTTGATTACATCTTTGCTAACAGAATCTAGAAAGTTCCAATTTTTAGACCAATATTTCCACCAATAAAAGCTTGATGGCGTATAATACTTTCTATAGTTCTTTGTTGATTACTGATTTATGTAGAGTTAAGAGCATCTTTGTTCTGTGAAAAATTCCAGTGACAGTCAGCAAATTCAGTGCTAAAATAATTCTTGTGCAGTTTTGTAATACTTTGAAGAGACTGTTTGCTTAAAATATAACTGTATATAACTTTAATAAGATTTCCTTATTTAATGTACAGGTAGGTCTTGACTTAAAACCATTCATTTAGTGACCATTCGAAGTTACAATAGCACTGAAAAAAGAAACATGACCAGTTCTCACACTTACGACCATTGCAGCATTCCTATGGTCACATGATCAGAATTTGGGTGCTTGGCAACTGGCATCTATTTATGATGGTTGCACTGTCATGTGATCATCATTTGTGGCCATCCCAACCGCCTTTTGACAAGCAAAGTCAATGGGAGAAGCCAGATTCGATTATTGATGACATGATTCACTTAACAATTGCAGTGATTCATTTAACAGCCATGGCAAAAAAAGGTCATACAATGGCATGATTCACTTAACAACTGCCTTGCTTAGCAACAGAAATGTGCTCAATAATGGTGTAAGTTGAGGACTACCATATATTTATACCACTTTAAATATTATTGACAGTCCAAATTGGCCCAATTTGTATATTTTATGAAGAAATGATTAAATTTAATTGAAGTTAGATTGATATTTGTGTCTATTCTTTGAAAATACATAGGATTGCACTATGCTTTTAAATCCTAATTCTACAAAATTGCTAGTTTCCCATTCTTTCTACTGAACCAATTTGCTCTTGTGAGGATTCTTTGCTCTCCAAGGACTGGACACAACATAGCAAATCTATACACAATACTTGATTGCAGCACACCCCTGCTTACTCCTCTGGGTCAACAACACCCTTCTAGGACAGACATGTCAAAGACAAGGCCCGGGGGCCAGATGCGGCCCGTGAAGTAGTTTCATGTGGCCTGCGAAGCCATCCTGGAAACAGTGAGGGAACGGTCCCCACTGTTTTGGCCCTGGCCCAGGTCGGCCGGGAGCCAATGTACAATTTTGTGGTGGCCATCTATGCTGAAACTCATTCAGTCTTAGCTCTACAAGGTCATCTGGAAACAGCGAGGAACCAGCCCCTGCCGCGTCGGCCCCACCCTCTGGGTGCATGCTGGGGAGGTGTCACCCTTTGTGAGGAATGAAGAAATGCACCATCACCTGGAAGTGGCCAGCAAATGGCCCTCGCCTACTTCACATATCCGGCTTGATGGGCTCCGGCGGAGGGGTTTCAGAAGGCAGTGAGGCTCTTCCAGTGGACCATGCCTTGGCATTTGCCCCGGTCCCACCACCAGAGACCCTCAGATCTGTCCCACTCCTGCCCAGACCTCCACAGGCACCCTTGAATCGAACGATGTAGAGCTGGCCATGCCCACTCAATAGGCCACACCCACTCCATCCACACTCACCAAGTAGGCCACACCCACCCTGGCTACAGCCACCTGGCCCCCCGAGGGCAATCGCAATGCTGATGCGGCCCTCAATGAAATTGAGTTTGACACCCCTGTTGTAGGACTTTGTAAGGTGATGTTGCCACGAACTATGTCCTTAATATTTAGTCTGTAATGCTCAGATCAGACAAAAGTCTCAAAGTTTATAAAATAGTATAAAACCTTTGTCTTTCTGCAAAAGTTCTTGTGCTAGTTATGATGAGATGCAGTTTCAGCATGGTTGCTCCTCTTCTAGTTGCTGCTGAGCCCATTGCTCTTAAGCAATGTTGCTTTCTGAGCACTCCAGCTAACCTGCCAAAGGATTCTTCCGGGATTTGCTGCTAGTTGTCTGGTCTGCCTGTAATAGCAATCAGTCTTCGGACATCGCCTTCTGCTTCCTTGCCTATATGCGGTTTGCTATCTCCTTTTCTCCTGCACACACCCCCATACAGTGTCTTAGTGTTTGCTTCTGTAAGCTAAGGGTCTGGATGATGAGAGGCCCCCTCCAGATATCAACACATCCTTGAATACACAAGGGTTCAGCCAGGCATCTTGAACATCGGCTTACTTGTGAGTAAATGCATGCATGCATGAGCCCATCTCTCAGGTTTCTAGGGTTCTGAATTTTCACAACCTTTTGAAAAAAACATGTGCTATGCTGAGCCTCCTGGAAATGGGATGGGAAGCACTGCTGTCATGACTACAGCTGCTTTCCCAAGCATAGACTTTCTCAGATGATCAAGGAATGGAAGAAGAGGAAATGGTTAGGAGCCAAAAGTTGTTTCCATCTTCTCCAGATTGCAATGCAATTATTATTGAGGAGAAAGGACCTTAGGTTATCAAAATTTTAGATTCTCAACATAGATTCTATATTCAATAAATAAAACACAAAAATGATAGCAATGCAGAAGAACAAAGCTTTTGAGTATTAAGACTTGACTAGAGTGAGGAATTTGACTGGTAGGTTTGAATCATGTTTGGAGTATTGGATTTTGGATGCTTTTGATTATTTTAGCTCAGAATGGGACAATTTGTTGCAGCCAACTCACCAACATCAAGAATAGGGTTTGCTTGAGAAACATGGACTTCAGACTTGGTTACAGGAGGATAAAATTTACAACATTGTTAAATCCAGAAGAGGAGTCCATAAAGGGATGTTGACTTTGATAGAAAAAGAGATAAATGCAAAAATAAAAGTTAAAAAAATGTATAAAAATGTAAACTTTCATTTTAATGGAATTAAATTACTGTGTGTGGAAGGCTACAATTTAGTCAAGGTTAAGTTCAGAAGTTTATCTTTTCTAAGAATCTCAGTTGATGAGTTGAGACAGTAGCTGAAGAATTGAGGTACCCTGGATTTAGGCCAGAAAATAATAAAAGGTTTAAAAGAGAATGGCTACATTAGTGCAAAACTTGAGAATCTTTTTCCTGGTTTTCCTTGGCTGGAAACAAAACACTATAATGTGCTTTTATACTGTAGCACTTGAGAAGCTGTCCTTTGGTTTTATCCAGCAGCCCTGCTTTCTGCTCTAGGCAAGAGGCCCAAAAATGTGGCTTTTTGGAGCGGAAAGCAATTATAGCTGTACCTGGGAAAAATGCAAATTTCT